GAATTTCATAAGTACTTTCCTGATTTAAATGACAATGAGGCAAAAAATGTGAGGAATCCGTTTTCTGTCAACCTTCACGTAGGCCAAGCAAGATGAATACCTGGAACTCCGAAACGATTTATTTGCCAAACACACATTCGAAGAGAAGAGCGTGATGGAGTTTTGGGAAGAAATGGGTTGCTAACATATATCAGCAAAAATGATTATCCGGGTGCTTCTGCCACTCTCGTCTACTTATCTCTGCAAAACGGGGTTTTCCACACTGTTGAGCATCAAATCGAAACGGCGGAATCAGCTCTACGTGTACTGTAATATGACTTCCGCCGTGCCTGTGACTCAACCATCTCTCTGAGTTTTATTTTTGTGCTTGTGTTCCTAGGTTTGATTATATGAGTATAGTTAAGTTGAGTCTATTTTTGTGAGATTATAATACCCTGCATTTACTGCAGACACAACACATCCATGACTTGGAACCGTTTTGTACTGTTTTCTTGTTTATGCTGTTCCTGTAACTACTGGTACCACTAACAGTAATAAAATATTAAAATATTAAAATCTCATATGCAGCATACTCATACAAGCGACGTTGCTTTGTTTGCTTCGACGAAGGAAGGTGTAGATGATGCCAAGGAAGTTATCATATTGTTATCATATTTTGTCCGGAGGGTCACAGAACGGAAAAGGTTGCAAACCACTGAATTATTATATCTACATTATCCTCGCCACCGGTGATATCTTCCATATAGTGTACGCGTGTTTGAAAGCAATAAGTCATGTTCAAAGATAGTAACAAATTTTTCTAGACTAGTTCGATCCCACTGATCACAAAATATAGTGTTGCCAAGTTTAATTTTTAGCTGAAAGTCCACATTTAATGATGGCGGACAAGATGTTTGTCAAAAGAGGCAAAATCATATATCTATTCTTCTTAAAGATGAATGTTTCATTTTAATGCAAATAATTGTGTTCTGGTAAGGAGTTTTCAAACTTAGCCTTATTCATCTGTTAAATAATGTACTATGTATTTCACGTTCCTAGCTATTTTGTTCATTTTATGTTGTTGGGTAATTAGTTTCTCCTCACGAACTTGAAACACTCAACAGAGGTGCTTGCCTATCATCGATCGTCTTAAACATAATCACATAATCACATAATCACGAAGAATGTCAGCGAGGAAGGCAATCGGGCAACACAAAGGTGGTTGCGGCATAGAAGAACTGTGGGTCTAGGGTAGTCTCTAGGGTGAATAACCCCAAACGCTTATGTATTGCACCAGGTGCTGTGGTAGCTTGTGGTGCCAAAATTTCGAGATTGGCTAAGTAATCACCCAGTTCATGTAGATGACATTGATAAGGCAATTGATGATCGAATGAAGTAAGCTTGCTGAAGTACTTACAGCTGCCGCTAACCCTATATTCCACACCCCTCACCAGCGGTTCATGCATGAGGAACAATTCGGCCATCATAATTCATAATCGAAAGTCACATCATCGACAAGCCACGCCCATAAGAGGCTTTATAAGCCAACGCACGGACTTAGAGCGTTCATTCACACTTCCTCATCATTGAATATAAAAACCCATATTTGGTTAATGGGTCATCTCTCTCCACTCACCAGTGCCATTGTATATATTGTTAACTAATATTCCTTTATTTCAGCTGGAGGAAGACCACTATAACTACACAAAGCCAGCAGGAGGTGGAGAAAAAGTAGACAAAGGAGCCAAGAGAGTGCAACAGCAACAACCGATCTATGCTGAAGTTCATAAGCCGAAGTGGTCATCACACAAGAAGAATTAATTGATTCTTCTGTTGCTTTGCTCTGAAATTCCACTTGTTTTGACCTGTAAAACCGAGGAATAATTTGGTATGATATATTCTTGGTGAGAACTTGTTAGGTAAATCGTTCGGGGATTACTTAAGTTATTCTTACTGAAGGGTTTAGTTATGACTATAGTAATATATCCTGGCAACACTATGTACAGTCTCGTTCAAGATTCTTCGAACGCTGCTGGAGACAGCTGGCAACTCAAGGTCATTTGTTTACTATAGTACATAGTAAAAATTATGAATAAATGTAAAAGTGATCGGTAATTGGTTATTTAGTTCCCGTTGCTTAATTTAATGGTTGGGCTTTGTTGTTTCGTATTATATTATACTACGTACTATAGTAAATATACGGCCTTGAGTTTCCAGCTGTCTCCAGCAGTGCTCGAATAATCTTGAACGAGACTGTACATAAGGAATCACCCCTTTTCTTTAATCAAAAATCTAATTCAGGCTCCTGACTCCATATATCTGAGTTTTGAAAACAAATACATTTAGTTATAAATGTCATAAAATTATTCTTAACAATACAAGCCAAGAAATGAAGAGCAGCAAAATACATTGTACAGTAGAAATAAGTTCGTATCGATCTGGTCCTAACCCTATCGTATAAAGAACCAAGTGTTACATTCTAAAATATGAAATGTGTTGATTCTGATTCATAAAAAAGACGATTGCAATTACGAGTTTTTTGTTTTCCGTAAGAAGAGACACAAATTTCTTATCTTTAAACGAGGGAAATGCCAAGGTAGTTCGCCCAAATAAAAAACTTTTACGCCACACAGATTAGTGTTTTGTATACCACAATGAAAAGCAAAGTGCTATATTTCGGAGGAAACTTTCACCATCATTCTGTAATGTTGAAAGACAAGGTCAGTTGCCAGTAAAAAAATATTTGTGAATGCTATGAACAATGATACCCCGGGAATCGTGTATTAAATGCTATGCAGTGAAAATCATGACGTCGCTGTAATTTAAGCTAAACGAACAATGTCAGATACTTGATACAAAGCACATCTGCTTTTTATTTCCTTTGTTTTGAACCCCATAATTAAACACACATTTAACAATGATTGGGATTGAAAAATACCCTTGAGCCTAATAAGAATTGACGGTAGCAGTAAGTAAGGAGGGCCATTTATTGTAATAATTCATTACTTTCCTTGGAAATGTGAGGTCTTTTTCAAGAAGGAAAAGGAACTAACCACACTGTTCCAGCCCAGGAAATGCTTCTTTCCTGTCTACTATAAAACGAAACTCGGATAATATACAGTATATGGTAGTAACGACTCACCGAGCGTTATGAACTGTATGTTAAACGCAACAAAACTGTTATCTATCTCTGCGATGCAGAACGTCCAGTCCACGAGAAGGTGCGATCCCCTCACCAAGAACACAAGGAGTGTACAGTATAAGGACAGGAACTTCTCAGGATATGTATTACCGTTATGCACCAGATGCTCAAATATTCGTCCAGTATACTGAGAAAGTGTCTAATTAGCTCACTGCAACTACAGTACAGCACTTAGGCCCTATTTGGATTAGGAAATCACTAGATCTAGGGTTGCTTGGTATTGGATGGCCGAGATAGATCTATGATCCATAAAAGAACGAATGCGAATTTGATTAAAATTTAATGTTATTTCTTCAAACACTGGGTAGCTGAGTGGCAGCATTCCCGATTAAACTTAAAATACTCCTTTTTGGACAGTAAACCCAAAAGGTTTAAACTTGAACTTTCAAGTCGACGATGCGTGTTTTATATAGTATTGAGCTTAGTTTTAGTAAAATATAGCAACTGTTTACATACTGTAAACAACACTCTCACACACAGCGTTGAGAGCTTCACAGTTATATGTTCAAATGTCCTGTGTCTATTGAACCAAGTTGTCGGACTGTAATAATGTTGTGTGTTTTATGATAATATAGTGTACAGTGACTGTAATGTGTTTTGCTATGTATTACTTACAATTTACTGGAGTATCATTGCTTTCTTATATCTAGATTTCTAGAGGGTATGTAACTTACCTATGATAGATTAATGTAGAGCCAGGGTCAAAGTTCGCCCCCTTCCGAAATGAAGCAGCATAAATGCAAATGAAATAAAATAGCACACACCCACATCAGATGATAGTCATGGAAACTGAGTTCGGAGATCCATTCCTGTGGCTCAATTTCACCAGTGGGAGCGAACTTTTGTCCGCGAGTGTACTTACTTTAGATGTATATGGATGTTACCAGTTTATTATGCTGATTTTTAATAGATGAATTACTTCCTATATTCGCGTTCCCAGGAGATCAGACACTGTCTCAAACACTGATTCATTTACAGCTCTTGGTCACGGGTCATTGATGGTTAATTCATATATGTACACTCGGAAACCATATTCTCTAGCCTACCTGGGTCGGTGCTGGAGGTTAGTACAGAGATTATGGTTTTCGAGTGTACATCTAGTAACATTGTACAGTTTCATTATGTCTCAATTCTACCATAATAACCATGACCTATAATGGCGTCTCGTGTAATGCAAAAAAAAATTCAATTACCTAATGTACTTTAGGTATAATTTGGTTATTTAATGATGGTGGATAATGTCTTAAATAAAACTAAGCACTTTTACCTTATGTGATTTAATTTCCATTATATTGTAGTAATAAAAAAAAGTTATATATATATATATATATATATATATATATATATATAATCAACAGCCTCACCCCGCCAGGACTCGAACCTACGATCTTATGTGTGTGACCCGGGAACGTTACCTCTAGACCAGTGGTTCCCAACCATTTTAGTACCATGCCCCACTTTTTTATCACAAATTTCTTTATGTCCCCCACCCGTTAATTGTTTAGTATGATATAACAATATCAGTTTTGAAGAAGTATAACATAAAAAATTTTATCTTTCAAATAAAACTAAAGGGTTTAACTTCAAATTTAATCAAATAAAATCCATTTTATAATGTGTATAACATATCTACCATCAGATGAAATATATTCAATTACAATCAATTAATGAGACCCTTGAGCCTGATGTCTACTGCAAAGAGATTTTATCCGAGGCAGAAATTTTGTTAATTTCAATCTCAAGTCGCCTCGTTTAGTGATATCCAGTCGGTTTCTTTTCTTCAGTAATAAGTCATTCAAAGCACTAAATCCACATTCCACTAAGTATGACGATGGGAATGGTAAAGTAGTTTTCTTGCCAAACTACTTGTATTTGGATATTTAGCTTGTGTTTCTTCACAGAGCCACATCATTGTTCCTTTTATTTTGAACAGGGCTTTAATCGAGTCATCATTTTGTAATTCTGAAAGTTCTCCTTGATATTCCATGGTTACATCTGACAGATCCACTAGCAATGGCTGAGTCATCCAAGATGGATAATTAATTTCTTTCAAATCAGAAAATCTGAAGTTGAAATCGCTTACCATTATTTTTAAGTGCTCCACAATAACAAGACAAGTAGCATCTGTTACCTCACATTTATTCAGCCAATAAAATTGTTCAAATTTTTTGACAGAAATATTTTCTTGGGATAATTCCAGAAATGATATAAAGCCAAATATCTTGGCCTTTGAATTAACAAGAGTCATATTTGTTCCTTGGAGCTCCTTATTTAAGACATTGAGTTTTTCAAATATATCTGCTAAATAACTGACAAGTGCTTTACCATCAACTGTCAGTAACAGAGTCATATAAGGTTTATCATCCAAGAACTCACTAAGAATATCAAATAATTCCATGAATCTTTTCAGGCAATTCCCATTTGATAACCACCTTACATCAGTATGAAGTAATAATCTTACATAGTCTGCATTTTGATCCTTGCAAAATTGTTTGAAAAGACGCTCACATTTGGCATTAGCTTTTATAGTGTTGATGCATTTTATAACTGCATTCAATGTCTCGTTTAGAACAGGGGAAACTTTTTTGGAAACTAAATTCTGTCTATGAATAACACAATGCACTAACAACATTTGGAGATTGTCGTCTTTCAATAATTTTAAAACTCCATTTTTCTTGCCCATCATCACTGGAGCACCGTCTGCAGCACAAGATATAATGTTCTCCATTGGTATCTGCTTATCATCTAAATATGTTTTTAATTTCTTATATATATCAATTGCAATAGTGGTGGTTTCTAATGCTTCGCAAAATAGCATATCCTCAATAAATTCTCCATTATCAACATATCTTACATAGGCCATTAACAGAGCTTCACTATCTCTTACAGTTGATTCGTCCAACTGTATTGAAAAATTTGTATATTTTAATTTTTCAACAAGTTGTACTTCTACATCACAACTCATTTCATCAATCCTGCTACTAACAGTATTATTACTGAGCGGCATGCTTTTGAGATCTTGGTCATCTTTTTCAAGAACTACTTTCAGAAAAGTTGATATTGCGGGCTTAATTGAATTCTCCCCTATTGTATGATTTTTGCCACATTTTGCTATGAGAAGAGAAATTTCATAACTAGCCTCAAGACCACGATCCTTGCTTGCACTTCTTGCAGAGAACAATGAATTTATTGTTGATCTTTTTTCAAACTTCTCCTTTAGGGATTTAAAATACTCCAGTTTTGAATTAACATGAATACTGTGTTTTGCCTTCAAATGATTTTCGAGACGACCTCTCTTCATGGATTCATTAGTCAAACATTGGTGGCACAACAGACAAAAAGGCAACCTTTCATCATGAGTCGCTGGTATGAACCCAAACAGCAAGTACTCATCTGAATACTGGCGAACTTTTTTTTTGGCGTGCACACTGTTCATTTTATGCATCATGGGGGTAACTGAAAAGTGAAAATAAAATATTTATATACTTAGGAAAATAAATTTAATATCTAACTTCTGTAACATACAAGGCACAATGTCAATATGCAGTTGCCATTTCAAGTAAATATTGAGCTATATATTCACAGTTTTAAATTAATGTTACTGTGACAAGATCAATGAATGATTATTTTTATACATTATTTTCAGAAAATAACAAGATCATTAATCATAATGAAAAGCACTTTAACCAGCCCTCTCAGTGAAGCTAAAAAACAGAGACAGATAACTATATCAACATGAAACTTGCATTTGTGTTTAATTCAATACTGCATCCATGCTTTATTGTGCACATTTAATTTGGTTGTAGTTAGTTTCCTCTGTTTTTTTAGCTTCAGTGGGAGCGTTGAGCAGCTGACTAAAACTCACCTTCTTCCTTGACAGCAGATGAAGAACTGCAAAGTTAAACAAGTCAGAAGCCACGCATATAGCTGGTGCCAGATGCACGATAACATTAGTGGGTGAACACTTGACTAGATTGCACAAGCTGTTGTGCTCAGCTAGGTTGTAATTACAATTTTACCCTATAAATTTATAATTTTTACCCATATAGGGTAAAATAAATAAAAAATTTGATATTACTATATTTTTCATATTGACCCCCTATTATTATTGAATTGCCCCCCAGTGGGGCGTAGGCCCCACGTTGGGAATCACTACTCTAGACCAACAGGACAGTAAAAGCAGTCCTAGACTTTGTTATATTTCACACAAAGCCTGTTCATCGAGTCCCCAATTGGAGGTTCAAAGCGCCATAACCTCGATGAACAGACTTTTGTGTGAAATATAACAAAATCTAGGACTGGTTTTAGTGTCCTGGTGGTCTAGAGGTAACATTCCTGGTCACACACATAAGATCGTGGGTTCGAGTCCTGGCGGGGTGAGGTTGTTGATTATGTGTAGAAGTCCGCGCGCTTTATAGGCTAATGAAATATATATATATATATATATATATATATATATATATATATATATATATATATATGCTCATAAATACAAGGAAAGAAGAAAACACGAAGTTCCCAAGCGCTTTCGTGTAATTCACATCTTCAGGGGATCACGCGCACCTACAGTGATGTACTTGTATATATATATATATATATATATATATACCTGTATATATATATATGTGTGTGTGCAAGGTGATTTAGCAGAGAATGCATTAAATTGGAGGATGAAGTCCTTGGATAATTCTAAACCACAATGTCTCTAAAATGTCAGATTCTGCATAGTTTCCATGTTACAATACATTTAAGATGTATTGTACAGAACCCAAAGATTGTAACTAATAACCTGTCCAATGGCATGCACATACAGGAAAACCCAAAATTATGTGTTAACCGAGAAAATCACTCATGACTCGTTAGGTAGGAGGCTCATCCGCTCGATCTATTTACTCTACTCCCGGGTTCATGAGTCATGTGTGTTTCTCTCCACCATAACCCATAATCGTGCTCCACAACATTTGCCCTGAATACACCATTACTTCAAGGTACCAAACAATTCTTTAAAAGGCACTCCTACAGCTAGCGCGCGCGATCAACCATTAGGTCGTTGACTTCACACCAGGGGAGATGAATGTACCTATTAACCACTAGCACCATGGGGAATTCTGGCTCCCAGAGCTATAATCCTTCATTCACTGAGTCTGCACCCAGGGCAAGCTCAATCTCCATTACTTTATAGGGGGGGAAAGAGCGACTGTCAAGTCAAGCTCAGCTAGGTCAGGTCACAGTACAACCTGGTGTACCTGGCCCCAGCTAGAAGGGAGATCTAGTGTTCCCTCCTCTTTCTATAAACATGTCTTCTCTGAGTTGGTGAGACTTGGACCCCTGTGTGTGTGTTGTATGCGTATAACTGGGAGATCCGGTTGAAAGCCAGGTCGACCATCACTACGCTATGGCTGCTCATCCGGTTAGTTGGTTATCCGCCCTCTCGCCCATTAGCTCGGTTACTTAGTTATCTGCCACTTGGGGTCTCGCAACTCCTGAAAAAAGGAGTGTTGTAGTAACTACTGCTAAATTCTTCTCCGCCTTATCTAAACAATGTCTGAGATCGAACTAGGACTTACTTGTAACGTGGTTGAAAGCATGTGCAACATATAGAGGCCACGTGGGCGAGCTTGGGACGGTAGGTCTCCTGGTCTGCCGTGAACAACTGAGTGACAGCTCGCCAGTGACTAGAGTCCCTCAAGATTCTGCATAGTTTCCATGTTGCAATACATTTAAAATGTTGTATTAATGAGAGTGAATTTGATGTGAAACCCCCCTAGGTTTCTGTAATAATTTATTCACAGATGTCTTATGTACAGCAGTACAGCGTGATACAGATGGCTGACACAGGTGCTATGAGACCGGGACCGTGTACAACCGAATGGATAAAGACAGTTACAGGGGGGACTACTTAACTTCAAAATCTTAAACCATTCCCTGATTATCCTTTATTTATTTTCAGGGAATGATTAGCACTATTTTAATATTTGTTTACATTATTTAATTTTGGACACGAGCTTCCTCATGGCTTTTTGGTAGTTATGCTATATCTATGACGTCATTCAGTCTCGTCTTTTTTATTATTTCCTAAGGACACACGTAACATATTTTGAACTGGGGAAACTATCCAAAATAACTTTTAATTTTATGGTGGTCCTTTAACTTCATACATCATGTATACATTAATTTGATCAAATGCATTTAAATTTCCTAGGCTTAGAGATGCTCAGTAGTTCATGACGCCTCCACTCGGCTGCTTGATGGCGCTGCTCTAAGGCTTTGCTTAATCTATATACATGCACATACACCTAATCTATATAATTGCATATATACCTAATCTATATAAATGCATATACACCAAATCCATATAAATTTTGATACTCCTAGTCTGTATAAATGCTGATACACCTAATCTATATAAATGCAGATACACCTAATCTATATAAATGTTGATACACCTAATCTAGATAATTGCAGATACACCTAATCTATATAAATGCAGATACACTTAATCTATATAAATGCAGATACACTTAATCTATATACATGCACATACATCTAATCTATATATTTGCATATATACCTAATCTATATAAATGCAGATACACCTAATCTATATAAATGCAGATACACCTAATCCATATAAATGTTGATACACCTTATCTATATAAATGCAGATACACTTAATCTATATAATTGCATGTATACCTAATCTATATAAATCCATATACACCTAATCTGTATAAATGCTGATACACCTAATCTATTTAAATGAAGATACACCTAATCTATATAAATGTTGATACACCTAAGCTATATAAATGCAGATACACCAAATTTATATAAATGCAGATAAACCTAATCTATATAAATGCAGATACACCAAATCCATATAAATGTTGATACACCTAATCTATATTAATGCAGATACACCTAATCTATATAAATGCAGATACACGTTAATCTATATAAATGCAGATACACCTATTCTATATAAATGCAGATACACCTAATCTATAAAAATGCAGATACTCCTAATCAATATAAATGCAGATACACCTAATCTATATAAATGCATATACAACTAATATATATACATGCATATACACCTAATCTATATCAATGCATTTACACCAAATCTATATAAATGTATATAAACCTAATGTATATAAATGCATATACACCCAATCTGTATAAATGCTGATACACCTAATCTATATAAACGCAGATACACCTAATTTATAAAAATGCAAATACACCTAATCTATATAAATGCATATACAACTAATATATATACATGCATATACACCTAATCTATATCAATGCATTTACACCAAATCTATATAAATGTATATAAACCTAATGTATATAAATGCGTATACACCCAATCTGTATAAATGCAGATACACCTAATCTATATAGATGAAGATACACCTAATCCATATAAATGTTGATACACCTAATCTATAGAAATGCAGATACACTTAATCTATATACATGCACATACACCTAATCTATATAATTGCATATATACCTAATCTATATAAATGCATATACACCTAATGTGTATAAATGCTGATACACCAAATCTATATAAATGCAGATACACATAATCTATATAAATGCAGATACACCTAATCTATATAAATGCAGATACACATAATCTATATAAATGCAGATACACCTAATCAATGTAAATGCATATACACTTAATCTATATAAATGCATATACACCTAATCTATATAAATGCAGATACACCTAATCCATATAAATGTTGATACACCTAATCTATATAAATGCATTTACACCAAATCTATGTAAATGTATATAAACCTAATGTATATAAATGCATTTACACCAAACTTATGAAAATGCATATACACTTAATCTATATAAATGCAGTTACACCTAACCTATATAAATGTTGATACACCTAATCTATATAAATGCAGATGCACTTAATTTTATATAAATGCAGATACACCTAATCTATTTAAATGCAGATACACCTAATCTATATAAATTCAGATACTCCTAATCTATATAAATGCAGGTACACCTAATCTCTATAAATGCAGATACACCAAATCTATATAAATGCAGATACACCTAATCTATATAAATGTAAATAAACCTAATGTATATAAATGCATATAAACCTAACTTATGTAAATGCATATACACTTAATCTATATAAATGCATATACAAATTATCTATTTAATGCACATACACCTCATCTATATAAATACAGATACACCTAATCTATATAAATGCAGATACACTTAATCTATATACATGCATATACACCTAATCTATATAATTGCATATCCCTAATCTATATAAATGCATATACTCCTAATCTGTATAAATGCTGATACACCTAATCTATATAAATGCAGACACACATAATCTATATAAATGCAGATACACCTAATCTATATAAATGCACATACACCTAATCTATATAAATGCAGATACAGCTAATCTATATATATGTTGATACACCTAATCTATATAAATGCAGATGCACTTAATTTTATATAAATTCAGATACACCTAATTCTATATAAATGCAGATACACCTAATCTATATAAATGTTGATACACCTAATCTATTTAAATGCAGTTACACCTAATCTGTATAAATGCAGATACACCTAATCTATATAAATGCAGATACACCTAATCTATATAAATGTTGATACACCTAATCTATTTAAATGCAGTTACACCTAATCTGTATAAATGCAGATACACCTAACCTATATAAATGTTGATACACCTAATCTATTTAAATGCAGTTACACCTAATCTGTATAAATGCAGATACACCTAATCTATAAAAATGTTGATACACCGAATCTATTTAAATGCAGTTACACCTAATCTGTATAAATGCAGATACAGCTAATCTATATATATGTTGATACACCTAATCTATTTAAATGCAGTTACACCTAATCTATATAAATGCAGATGCACTTAATTTTATATAAATGCACATACACCTAATCTATATAAATGCAGATACACCGAATCTATATAAATGCAGATACACCTAATCTATATAAATGCAGATAAACCTAATCAATATAAATGCAGATACACCTAATCTATATAAATGCAAATACACCTAATCCATATAAATGTTGATAGACCTAATCTATATAAATGCAGATACACCTAATCTATATAAATGCAGATACACTATAATCTATATCAATGCAGCTACACCTATTCTATATAAGTGCAGATACACCTAATCAATATAAATGTTGATACAACTAAGCTATATAAATACAGATACACCTAATCTACATAAATGTTGATACACCTAATCTATATAAATGCAGATACACTTAATCTATATACATGCAGATACACCTAATCTATATATTTGCATATATACATAATCTATATAAAGGCATATACACCTAATCTTGTATAAATGCTGATACACCAAATCTATATAAATGTTGATACACCTAAGCTATATAAATGCAGATACACCTAATCTATATAAATGCAGATAAACCTAATCTATATAAATGCAGATAAACCTAATCAATATAAATGCAGATACACCTAATCTATATAAATGCAAATACACCTAATCCATATAAATGTTGATACACCTAATCTATATAAATGCTGATACACCTAATCTATATAAATGTAGATACACCTAATCCATATAAATGTTGATACACCTAAGCTATATAAATGCAGATACACTTAATCTATATACATGCAGATACTCCTTATCTATATAAATATTGATACACCTAAGCTATATAAATGCAGATACACCTAATCTATATAAATGCAGATAAACCTAATCTATATAAATGCAGATACTACTAATCTATATAAATGCAGATAAACCTAATCTATATAAATGCAGATACACCAAATCCATATAAATGTTGATACACCTAATCTATATAAATGCAGATACACATTAATCTATATAAATGCAGATACACCTAATCTATATAAATGCAGATACACCTAATCTATATAAATGCAGATAAACCTAATCAATATAAATGCAGATACACCTAATCTATATAAATGCAAATACACCTAATCCATATAAATGTTGATACACCTAATCTATATAAATGCAGATACACAATAATCTATATCAATGCAGATACACCTATTCTATATAAGTGCAGATACACCTAATCTATATAAATGCAAATACACTTAATCTATATAAATGTTGATACACCTAATCTATATAAATGCAGATACACTTAATCTATATAAATGCAGATACACGATAATCTATATCAATGCAGATACACCTATTCTATATAAGTGCATATACACCTAATCTATATAAATGCAGATACACTTAATCTATATACATGCACCTACACCTTCTCTATATAATTGCATTTATACCTAATCTATATAAATGCATATACTCCTAATCTGTATAAATGCTGATACACCTAATCTATATAAATGCAGACACACATAATCTATATAAATGCAGATACACTTAATTTTATATAAATTCAGATACACCTAATTTATATAAATATTGATACACCTAATCTATATAAATGCAGATGCACTTAATTTTATATAAATTCAGATACACCTAATCAATATAAATGCAGATACACCTAATCTATATAAATGTTGATACACCTAATCTATATAAATGCAGATACACCTAATCTATATAA